TTCACTTCATTTCTGGTGAGTATGTTTGCATGAATGTATCGATCTCGATATGTACTATGTATTATGTGTAAAAGTGGGCCGAGTCACCTAGAGGACGGATCATCTCGGGTAAGTCGCTTCGCGGTTGGATGTGAGACGTGGTGTAGCAGGGTCTCGGTAGTGATAGCTGTTTTCATTTTGAAGTACAAGTACAAAAAAGCCTATTGAGTAAATGTTTCCCTTATCTCTGAAGGAGCCCTTCCCACCATCTTGAAAGAATCTCACGCTCCGATTTCATCACAACACTGGTTGCCTAGAACTGTTCCGAGTTCGATTGCTAAAAAAGTGGCGCTCTGAAGCATACCCCTGATATTCAAGTGACCTCCGCAATTTTATCAAACTCACAAGGAATGTCCCTCAGGTCGCCATGGCCATTCCATATGAGATGTATACCCTTTATGCATTTAACACGCTGATTTCAAATCTGCCTTCCAAATCTGCTAAACGATTCTGTGAACGGAGTTATGAAGCCGAAAAGCGCAGCGGCAGCAGTGCGGGCTCTTGAGCAAGGGCTCGTGGGATCGGTTCATTCATTTGCTTTTGTGCGCAGCGTTCCTGGATTGACTCTTGTTCATCAATGTTTGCCTATAATAACCGTATATACTTGCAGAGGAACCGATCCCACGAGCCCTTGCTCAAGAGCCCGCACTGCTGCCGCTGCGCTTTTCGGCTTCATAACTCCGTTCAGAGAATCGTTTAGCAGATTTGGAATGGCAGATTTGAAATCAGCGTGTTAAATGCATCAGGAGGTATACATTTCATATGGAATGGCCATGGCGACCTGAGGGACATTCCTTGTCAGCTGAGTGATTGTTTTGCTCCTCAGATCGGCAAAAGTTGCGAACACTAACATGAGCGCTGTTGACCTGCCCGCCGCGATTAAGGGTGCTCACCTCATTTACCATGCTTTGGCCTCATCACCCCTTTTGCATGAGAATGAAATATCCATTTCCCTCTCAAGCTGAAAAGGGAGAGTAAGGTCAGCACGGTGAGTCAGGCTAGTTCGAGGCTATCCCCTATTCCAGTTCGATATTTTAAGTGGCAAAGGGTAAAACCCTTAGCGTTGATCAGTCCGTCTCCAGACTACCATAATTAATCTGTTCAGAAATAGAAGTGCTTATAGGAGTGTGGTGGCTTGTGAATATTGCTTTGTTTACATGTGCCTTCTGATATGTAGAAATAATTGTACAATGAGGTTATTATACAGTGAGGTGCGGGTTGCTTGGACTCATTCGATCCCAGATTTGCCATTCTGCCCTTTCGCATGGTAACCGGCGCCTCTTACCATTACACCACCTGCGCCCGGCTATGACACGTATGGATGCTGTGAGCAGTAGCGCTTTAACCCTCCCTAGCAACAATTAGACTCAAACGCGATGCTCTAGGCCGGTTAATGAAGTAGTGCTAAGGCATGTGAGCGCAATCAGGTAAAGAGTTAGAAGAATTTTCGTCGTCCGTCCAGAGTCAACAGAAGACTGTTTGCTTCCGCGCACCGTAGCCACCATAGCTCGTACCTGAATCGATTCCGCCTCCCGTCCCCTCGCCCCTGACCACTCTGGAACCATCCCGAACTCAGCTCATCGTCAAGCTTCAGTGCCAGTAGCTATCAGCACTTACAAAACTCGTCCAAAAACCACCAATTTCTCTACATTAGGGATTTGGCCGAATTATTTCTTTGGAAAAGAGTTAATCGAGTGCTTGCTAAGGGAGTTCGAGCTTAACCGTTTTTAGCTCAGCCTAAATTGTACTCAGCCGTTTTGAAAGGGACAAATACAGCACTAGAATTCCAGTTTGGTAGACACTTTCGTAAAACATTTCGGCACAATTCAATTTCTTCATACGCAAGCTTCCTCAGATGTTCTTATGTTTCCTAGTGGTTACTCTTCCTACTCTGTCAATTATACTTTTCGCAACTCAACTCCCTCATCTCCCTCAAAAGAACAGGTAAGTGGGCACTACGGTTGAGTAGTTGTTCACTTGCCTAGAGCTAGGCGGGTATGCGCCCCATTAACGTTCATTGCCAGCTCGTTTACTCAGTTGTCCCACCGTTGTCATGTTTTTCATAACGGCACTAGTCAGTAGTACTACGACAGTACAAGCTGTATTTACTTTTTCAAAATGACGCCAAAATTTGCTAACAAAATCTCTGACCAAAACTTTTTTCTCTCAGTTCTATCCTTCATGTTCCGCTTTCTCTTGTATCTATCATTTCTCCGTTGAAAGGTTAACATCGCATTAGAGATATTCAGAATAAGGGAGCCTGCTCAATTCCTTCCGGTGCAGGACCGAGGCCCCATGTCTGCTGTTCCCGTGCAGGACTTACGTTCGACACCTCGTCACATTGCTGATCAGCTGAAACGATTTGTCCTTGTTGCCGACTCTCCCCAACCCGGTAGGTTCGATCTTTTATCTGGTAGGGCTGTGTTCATAGAGCAGACTACGCACTCTCTTTTGTCTTACGTGAACTTGAGTTGCTCCTTGAGTCGAGGAAAAGCCGTTCAAAGGCAATCTCGTTGATGAACTTGGTCCTAATAAGTTTTTCCTAACGGTCAGTTCCCAATGGCCACCGACCATATCGACAGCATATTTCAGACTTATTTTCATTCCTTTTCATACATTTATTTCCCATATTTCTCCGCTATCAATGGACTTGGCTGCCCAGTGAAAGGCCTCGGGTAGATGAGTACAAATTTGTTTTCAAACCTTTTTGGCTGCTATCTTAGTTGGGGGACCACGCGGAAGCGCGGCGCTCTGGTTCGTCTGCTACTCCAAGTCCCCGATGGCGCGTATTTCGATACTACTATGTGATGACGAAATATTAACTGTCACTGGGACTAAGCCTTGGAGGAGCACACGAACCAGAGCGCCATCTCGTATAGTTTTTTGCCTGGTAACCCAATTTTTAAGCTTGTTCCATTGCTTAGACACTCTATGAGTGACTTCCAAGGTAATCTAAAAAATCGAATAAAATTAAAGTAAATATTTGATTGAGTTGATTCATTCATATGTTCATCAAATTTCTTTCTGATTGTCTTGTTCTGTTTCAGTGCCGAACGGTACATCACTATCAGATGCTGGCTTTGTGTTGCTTAGCTTAAAGGATCAGATTCTCGTGGAAAACCCAAGGTAAGAGGCTCATGAACGAAAATTTCGTCGTCCTTAGCGCTTGTTTGCAAACTAGATGCTGCCGCAGACCGGAAACGCCCGTCTTTATCCCTGAACAAGCATCGGCTGGTTTTTCGTTTGTCTAATGTCTCACATTTGTCTCACTGGCTCACTTTGAAGTGTTGAATTAAAAGACTACAATGTCATTCTCAAGTAGGATAATAGCGAAATTATTGGGTTTACCCGTCACAATTGATGGTTGCATTTTGCAAAACCTACTGGTCAACATGAAGTGCAGTTAGGCTAGGGAGATAGAGGATGTTGGCGGGATGTGGGGGTCGTACTCTTCTTACGAAGCACTCCCTCAACATGCTTGACCCTGCTGAGAACCACTCTTGCCCGGTGGAACGCTATGACCTTACGTGGCCGAACGTATACTGAAAAAAATTTTGGTCATTTTTTACGACAAATCTGCTCACCAAGAAAAAGTAAATGAAAACACAGTCACGAAGCCGTGCGCCATCGACATTGTGCTACTTTCGTGAGTTTTCCACCAGCTTTTTTTCTTCGTGCTTGCAACCACGTGCCGAAGGGGAACTGGAGCTATAGAACCCCCTATGGTTCCCTTTACGAGTACCATTTTTCACTACCGCTGTTGGACATATTGTAGGTCTTAAAAGGCACTGGCCAGGACTGGACAACTGGATTGATCCTTTCGGTTTGGAGTAGTCCTGATTGCAAAGCTCGCTGATGCGCTGTTCCCTCAAAGTGTACAAGAAGGGCAGTAAGACCTTGCCAATGCTCCCGAATGGTGGCCATGAGTAGTAGCCGTTTTTCTGCTGTGCAATAGCACTTATGTTATCTGTGCCCTCTAGCACAGTGTGCTCTCTCACGTTTTCTGCCTTCTCTGTTCACTATCTCTCTTCGCACCACAGTAGCCCTTCCAGAAGTCCGTAATTGTAGTGTTTCCAGTGACGTGTTTTGTTTAAATTCTCGTTTCAGACCACTGGGCACCTCCACCTTCTCAATTAGCGTTCCTACACATGAAGTTTATTCTAGAAATTGCCTTTAAGGGTCAACAGTGGCATGATGCTCGATATCATATAAACGTATACGATCTCCTCCTACTCTGACAGAATGGTTGATCAATGTTGACGGGGTTGATGAACTCGTTGACCCTGGCTATCCTGGCATATTCCCATCCTCCCCTACTGCCTCCAAAATTGAAAGTCTGTTCGCGGAAGGATGGGGCTCTACGGAGGATAGCTTACTGTTGAAACGGCAAAGTTTGTCAAAATTTTGCAAGGTTTTTCTTAAATTTCGCAAAACCTGTTTTTTTATGAAAATATCCGCTACCCATGTAGTCCATCGGTGGGATCCCATTTTTCCAGATATAATCCCTTTCTAAAAATCACAGATACCCTCTCGTTCTTCTAACTCCACCGGCCGCCTCGCTGACTTCTTCTCCTGCTATAAACAGTTAATAGAGCGGGCCAGTTTTGACTTTATCTGTCACTTAATTATCAAAGAAAAATAAAAATAACTAAAAGAAAAGCGAAAGGATGAGGGAATGCTGCCTTCCACTATTGAATTTTCTATAGCTCATCTTCATTACCTTATCATAAGTCCGGCGCCATCAATGGGGCAAGGGGCGTGCGGCCAAGTCCTTTGATTGGTAGGTTGCCACCGACCCCATGCACCTCTTATATCTGTCCAACCCACAGCTACATCTACATTAAAACTTCGACAGAGTAGATTCCCTGCAAAATATTGAGTCTAACGATAGTGTCTTAACAGTCCTGTAGGCAGCCCTTTGCACTATACTGAGCTTGCACGGAATTCTGCCTGAGGAACATATGTGCAAATTCTTACTGTACTTCTCATTCAGGTCCCAGCACTTTTGTCAAGAGTTCATTGCTAGACCGTTGAATGGAGTCGAACTACTTAGCAAAGTGGTTATTGTTCTGCAAGGTATTGTCAACTCTAACCAACCACCTCCCTCGAAGATTTCCAATCTCCTGTCAAGAAACAATACGAATACCAACAGGAAACGAAAAGCTGCAGTAAGTGAATAATTTTGAAAAAAAAATTATAATGCAACTGGCAGCATTTTAAGTATTTGACGATCGTGACACAGGAACTATGTTTATTTCGTTCTCCTTTTTTTCTGTTCGCGTAAATATCTGTGGATTCACTAGAAGCTGGTCGATTTTTTGAATTCTACTTTTATTAGGCCAAAGGCAACGTTGGAGGTGCAGAAAATGTTTAAAAGCGCGCAATACCGCAATACCTAACGACAATGGAAGATAGCTACGGTTAAGGACCTAAGATTGAAGGCAGGGTACGAATAATGTATGAATGGTGAATAAGGTTAAATGCTGATGCCGTATAAGAGGTTAACCGAAGGGCCGACGTGTGGCTCCTGCGCAGTAACGGACGCGCGGTCTAAGAATGCTTGCTGTATGCCGATACTGTCGTAATCATCGGGATTGCATCTTGAAGAGCAGTTCAGACGAGCGAACCTGTCTTTTATTGTTTGCATGTAGTGCGTTACCAGATAAAACGTGATGTTAGGTAGAGCTACAGTGGCTATGCGGGTAAACTCGTCCAATAACTCTGCCTTGATCGCTTGCTCGTCCGAAGCGAGAATCAAGAAGCCGGTCCCATTTCCACTTCACAAATCATTATTTTGGTTTTTTCGTCATGGTGCGCCAGCTACTTGCTCATTTCCAATGACTAACGTCTGCCATTAAGTTTCTGCAGTAGAGTCCGCTTTGACATCTCGATAGATCATGACGCGGAGAATGACGGGAGGGGGCATTTATGGCGAACCCTTCACGGTTGCACAGCAGCTCGCAGTAGCCGCGGTCTTCCTGGGCGTCCCAGTCCCCATCTTCGTACTAATTCCCGAAACAAGCGCTGAATTTATTGCACTACAGCTTTTGGCGAGAGACACACGAAAAATGTGAAGGTCGCCGCACTGTGACCTAACACCACTCATACGTACATACAGTAGAGCTTAATATGGAAAAGGTTTCTTTACCTTAAGATTCTTATTTTCAGGTTGCTGAGGCCGACTGCATTGAATGCTTGAAGATACTGTTGGAAAAATCGGTAAGTAATTTGCTGAAGTTCGCCCTACACATATACGTTTCTGTATTATTTGTTGGGCTACAAAGTGTGCTCTAATCTAACAACACCCACCTCCGAATTCCATCCTTCCTACTCCCGTACCTACGCAGGGGCGTGGAGCTGGAGGTACACATAATAATTATTTATTGTGAAATTAGGAAATTTTCAAGGGCCATGTACGTTTCCCAAAATTTTCTATTCTTCTTGGACAATTTGATTTCCCATTTCACGCTCTCCAAACCCATATTGCCACGTATCACCTTTTTCCCCAAAATCACAGGATACATTCTCCAATCTCTATAGGTGAGGATAGGTAGCGATAAGGGCGAGGGGGCTGAAGATTGTGGACCCTTGAACGCTAATACATTCTTGGAAAGACAAGTAAAGTGACGATAGCCCTTGGGCATAGAGAAACCAATCACTGCAACGAGATCGCGCGCTATGTGTGCGTGGTGCGTCCTATATCCTCCCGATACACAGGATTTCCTTGCTGTTGCTGAACAATGAGTCAGACCATCTCCTAGCAAATTGCTGCAAATTGTAACTGAAACCTTGTTCTCAGGACAATGCCTGGCGCCGATTTCTAGACTCTACCAGCGGTTTGGATGCTGTTCTTTTCTCGGTCAACAGCCCACAACTGGACTCGAAGTGTTACGCTCTTGAGGTGAACACTTCGCTGAACACATACCGGCATCCATGGTATTAAATTTACATGTTGTTTACAGATCCTCTTGCTATTGCTGGATCAGCCGCAAGGGTTTGTTATTTTGATGAGGGCACTAACGGCGCTTACAGCGAGAAGTCGTGACTACGTTCGGTTTACGTTGTTCGTCGCTCAGCTGAAGCACGGCCTTCATACTAATAAACTCCATATACAGGTGAATACTGTTGCAATAGCTCGATACACGCGGTTGCAGAAACATTGATGGAATATTTGGGACAAAGTAAGTAAGGTTCACGTTATGAACCAAACTTCTGCTCCAGATTCTTATCGTCCGACTATTCAACAAGATGTTGGCCACTGCACCGTCTTCGTTACATCGTTCCCTTGTGCGAGCCGAAATCACGCTCTCAAAATTCAGTGTGGAATACGTTGAAAGTGTCAGTGGTTTTCACCTTCTTTTATTAGTCGCCTCTGCAAAGCAGATTTACTTCTTTCCACATACTTAAAGGCATATTTCATTCGCGGTTTCGAGTGGTTGTGCAGGTTCTATATCGAGGGCTTTTAGTATTTTAGAGCTGTTTATAAAAGCACAGAATATAGCGTTACCAGGGTTTGAATTGCGCCACAAGAAAGCTGGGCTTGCGAGCTTGGTTGCGGATGCAGCTGTTATTCACTACGCAGAGAGCTCTGCAGCAGAGTCAACCCTGCGTTGCGCAGTTCTCAACGGCCACGTTGCGCAGTTTCGCCCGATTAGACACGTTCTCTCGCGCGAACATTCACACTCGCATGCTCGAGCCGTCTGTGTCTCCGCCCATACAGCGTGCGTTGAGGATCTCTCAACGTGCCGTTGCGAACTGCGCAACGCAGGGTTGACTCTGCTCTGCAGTGGGGTGTCTGCGTCTCACTCCCTGCAATGCTCTCAAGTGTGTCCTCTCACTTCGGCGCCCGCTGCCTCCTCGTCGTAGCAACACCTACATCGCAGAATAAAAGGGTCCTTATTCTGGGTTTCGCTTGTTTCTCGTGTTTTTTTTTCAATGAAGTTCCAGCACGCTCTTATGCTCCCGTTCTTGGGGCTCTTATGCTCCCGTTCTTGGGTGATATAACCACATCTTCTGCTTGTAATAGCGCCTTCATTCTACTACTTTTTCTATTCTACTACATTTACTTCTACTACCAGCAATTGGAACCACGAAAAGTCTCTGAGATGCAGCAAATACAGAAGGGTTCGTAGTCGATCTATAACTATGGCAAGTGGCGGTTGAGAAGGCCATCAAATTAAAGCCAAATACGAAATATCGAGTTTAAGTGGTTCGAGTGAGCAATATGTAGAATGGTTAACTCATAACTAGCCAGTTCCAATTACTGAAATTTGGCCGTTACCTGATAGCTTTTCCTGATAGGTGGCTGAGCACTTCCAGCTTAACAACACCGTAATCCTTCGAGTTCTCAGTAACGATTCATAGTAAGTAAGTAAGTGACATTCATAGTAATTTTTATAGCTCATCAGCGCTCAACCGGCGCCACTTGGCGGTATGGATGTGCTAGTGGAAGAATTGTCTTTGTGGCGTTCTTCAGGACCGGCGACAATGCCTGCCTATGGTGTGGAACATAACCACATCTATGGGTACGACTTTGTTCTCATCGCGTCTTCTAACATTTGCTTCTTGTACAAGTGTACGTTCTAGGTTGTCCGAAACTGAAAGTGACACAGCTCATAGCGATCGAGCGCGGCATGGTCGACCACCTCTGGCCGGCAAATATCCGACCGTTAGTTTACAGAATTTTTTGTCCTTAAGCGACCCATAAGAGTCCATGGGAACTTTCTTACGGCGTCTGATCGGGTCGCTCTATTAATAGCGTTCCCACATAAGGTGACAGGAGGCCCGCCGCGCGACAAGAAGGCAAGGAGCGGACGAGTCGCAGCGCGTACTGTAGTGATTTCGCGTCAAGTTAAATAGAATGTCCATTGTACGTCCTACATCGCACATACGCGCTGCGACTCGTCCGCTGACTCTGCCTTCTTGCCGCGCGACGGGCCTCCTGTCGGGTACCCCCAAACCAGCTCCGCCTCCCAGCCGTTGCTCCCGCTCCCTCCAGCAGATCGTATAACAGATTTAGCGGTAATAATGGAAGCGGTTCAGAGGTAGCGGTGAGGGTACTCAATTATACTCTGGTGACCATTTTTTGGTCTTAAAGAGATTTCGATGCGGCGCAAACGAATAGTCTAACAATACAAAGGACCCAGCAACTGCGCAGATCTTAATTTCTTCGCGAATAAATTTTTCCTCGTATATTCATTTCTACTTTCTACAAAATTATTTCGGTCAGCAGTCTTTAGATCGCTTCGCATTTCGAATTCCAAATTACGAGCTGTTCAAGGTCAAGGGTTCTCAGGTGATGAACGCACTTTGTTTCTAGGGCAATACTTCCGTAGCGAAGAATGTTGAACGACAACGACTTAAAAAGCAGACTGGTATGGGTTCGAGTGGTCGTTCTTCAGCACCTGGATATTATCCCGAAGTCGATCGTAATTCATCGACTGCATTCTATCCTGACCGTAGATCACTCACCTTGTCAAATCGTACCTGGCAAGCACAGTCCGGTCAGTTTCCTTATGCCATCTGAGCTCACTATCACACATAAATCTGCTTTTGTTTTTAGAAAGTTTCTCAGAATTGCCCACTACAGTATGAAGCATTTGAATTCGAGATGAACGAGGAAAGGCAGCTACTTGAAATTATGTTAGAGGTGGTTAGTGGTGCACGAAAGAAGAAAAACTGAGAAAAATGGCCCAGAACCCGAGAAATGGAACCCTTCCTTGCCCGTGATTTGCGCATTGATGCGACTCTCATCGCTGCTGCCCTCTTCAACGCTATGCTCTCTCTCTCTCTGCTAAACGGCTAGAGACTCAGACACGAGACGACGCGAGAGGGGGCGTAACGCGCTGATAGCGTGTCGAGAGCACCGCGGAGAGGCCATTCTAGATCACCGCGGGCCTACCCTTGACGGCCCGCACCCTTGGAGGTCCGCCTGTTTCCCTATTAAGTTAGTACCCTTCTTTGACCTCCGTCCTTATCTCGCAGAGTGCTGAAAGATCCAAAAGAGCAGTCTGAAAGACTTATGGAGACGCAATCGCGGCTTTCAAGCAGGGTCAACAGTACGCCCGGCTAGTCAAACGAAAGGGTCCTATTTTGTGATATCGTAGTGTGACATCGTATTCAGCGATGGGGGAGTAGTTGTGTGTGACATATGTATACAAGAGAAAATTTCCTGTATCGAATAAAATTTTCAACAAAATCGGGTCACATGCAAAATAAGCGGATTCTGGTAAACTCTATCGTTTCATATTTAGTGCACAGGCTATCGCCCACCCAGCTCCAATTTTTAACGTTTTACCCGGATGGAGGGCCGGATCGCAAGAATGTCAGCTAGGGCCAGATTCAAGAACAGTGTTCGCACATGGGAGCAGGGTGCTATAGGCAGATTGTATACCTGCGATCAGGCTAATTCCACAGTGGTCCCTTTTCGAGGTATCCTGGAAACGTTGAAGAGTGGTCAGAAAAATGCGTTGTATTCTCCTGCACGTATAGCGCCAATTATTGGAGCGGGTCAGGCGACATGGTTGTCAAAATGATGCACGACTTCTGGGACATCGTAAAATCTGCTGATCTGTGTGATCCAATGAAACACGGGTCAATACTTATCCATTTTATAAAATTTTTCGCAGTAATTTTTTC